AACCTAGGAGTCATTTCAAAAGTAGGTTGACTTTGATCGTCCGGGTGAACGTAGTCCTGAATAGGACTGTTGTTGTTGAGAGTGACTAACGTTTCGACAACCTGTGCAGTAGTCATCTTTAGATTCAAAGTGAGTTGTATCACGTCAGTTTCACCCCAGGTAAGACTCTGCCATAAACCAAGATTGTCGCCTCTTATAGCGGAAGCTCGACGTGGACAAACTCACAAAATAACTAGGGAACTGTGAAGAGTATATACTCTTGTTTGCTTGAATTGACGTTCTTTTTTTTTTTTTAGGAAAGCCTGCCTTCTCCGACCTAGATACCTCAAAAAGATCATTCGAAGTCTGGCCAAAGTCTCACTCATTGTGCTTAAGTGTAAGGCGAAGGGGACACCACCACTTAACTACACCTGGCTAAAAGACGGAGAGTTTTTGAATGGGAGACGACTGGACCCATACCTTAACACCTCAATTTGGTACCTTAAACTGAAAAATTTGGAAGTTAGAGATGCTGGACAATACACTTGTATAGCATCCAATCGATATGGCAGCATAAATCATACTTACACGGTTACAGTTCTAGGTAAGAACACGGCTGCATATCTTCGGTTCCATTGTAGACTCGTAGTTTATCTCTCAACGGACAGCTGATTTTTGAGACAGTTTAATACCCGTTCATAATAAACTTGATACCCCATATTAACAACTATAAACGCACTGAGAAAAGGTTGTACTCGGTGTAAAGAGTTTTGTAGCATTCAACTCATGGCAAGGCCAACACAACAGAGTTAGCTGTAGAAAACGTAGAAGATAGACCCCTAAGTCCACTTCTCCTTTCGAACAAAAGTGTAGGTATTTTACGCCTCCTTCAAATTTTAAAGGAGTGATGAAGAGACAGGGCCAACAGCTTATCGTCACTGACCAGCGAAGTGATCTTCTGACCACAGCCTCTCTGATCTTATTAGACCCTTACTGGGGGTCTTGCCGGAGTTCTAACCCGTGACCTTACCCAAACTAAACCGGTGCTCATCCAACTGAGGACAAAAGGCGGCTAACCTCCCGGGGGGACTTCCATATGAAAGTGACGGGGATGTTCGTCGGAAAATTAAAATTAAACCCTAAGAGAGACCAATATGGGTGTGGCTCAAGCTTAAACCGACCCCTAAAGGAGACAACACGCAAACATACATAAGAGCTAGAGTGTGTCGTGTTCTTTTTTAAACATTAGATTTCTGTGCGTTCAGTGTCAAGGCGTTTTTTAAAATTTCTTTATGCACAGCCCTAAGCGATACCGGAATGGGCAAATATGGTGACTTTCCGTCCGAAGCATCCGAAGTGAGACCGAAATCTACAATGTACACCCCAAACGAGACGACGAGCACCCCCGTCACTTTTATATGGGAATCCCCCGGGGCTAAACCCAAACATTGATGCCGTTTGATAGGTTCTCTCGATCAATAAGACAGTGCAGTTTTCAGCGAACGCTTTATCTTGTTGAAAAGATGCGAACCGTTTAACAATGCCTGGTCTCTACATCTCTCAAACTGACTCCATAAAAGTTGAAGGACAGTTGAGGCCTGGCGTTTAACCGGGTGTTAAGGTCGTGACGAGGCAAAGGTTCACGGTTACTTCTTCAAAACGAATTACGAAATGGTCGTACAGTACCATGTAAAATAATCTTACTTGTTTTTCTGGGCCAATTTGGCTATTTCCCGTCTAAGTTCTCCGTTACTATACGGCTATTTCACCCGACCAACTCAGCTGTTTTAAGAGAGATCTGTATATTTTAACGAATTTCTTTGATCGTTTTTTTTAACAGATAAACAACTAACTCGACCTATCCTGCGAAAGGACCTTCCAAAGAACACGACTGTAGAGACAGGAAAAAATGTTACGATGAAATGCCTTGTCTTGGTCAGTGGGATGCTTCTAGATTTTAAGTGGCTAAAACGGGACAAATCTTTCACAGATGGGACATATCAGCTTATAGATCCGCGATATTATCATTCTATAAAATCGGGGGAGAGTTATGGTTCTCAGGTGACAATTACCAATGTCACAGAGGACGATTTTGGACTCTACACTTGTTATGCGAGCAATCACATTGGAGCGGAATATAACAGCGCCTTCCTCAGCAGATACGTGAGGCCCACTACTCCTTCTAAACGAGGTAAGAAGTTGTAAGTTGTGTATAAAACCGGAATGTTAACCTTGAGTTTTAATTTTACAGACATTTTATCCAAACTGTGTTTACAAAAACACGCAATTAGTATGGCTCGAGTTATGATCTGAGCTGTCGGAATTACATGTACATAGAAAATATTACAGAGCATGTCTTCTTGGGGTTCATTGGGGAGCGATGCAGTTTGGCCCCTCACACCAGAGACATGTTCAGTTTGCAACAGTAAGGTAAATGTTTCCCAATTTCCCTTAATACTCCCTCTGGAGAGATAAAGCGTTTACTATAATGAGCGGACGTCTGGGTTTTACTCCATGTTACACTCGGCCAAGTTAATACAAGAATGCACTAGACACTGACGATCTTAAGGAAAACCAGGTGTCTACAGCTCTTCTATTTCAGGAAAACCATTCTTCTCTGAAGCTTTAAAAAGAGCATTTAGAACCTATAAACTCATATTCAGTTAAGCGTAAGTGTAAGGCAGAGGGGGCACCACCTTTTAAAAGATTTTGGAAAAGAGACAACTGGAAGAGTACCTCAACACCTCAATTTGGTAATAAAGTACCTAAAGATGCCGGAGAATCACACTTGTATGATATCTAATCGAAATGGCAGCATAAATCACTCTTACACGGTTAGAATTCATAATCATGGTCAGAAGCACAGTTGCATATCTTCAACTCCTTCAGTAGGATCGTATTTCTTTATTTGTTTGTTATTTATTATTCACCGGTCAACATTTTAGACGACAGCCGATTTTGAGACAGTTTGACACCGAGTCACAACAAATTTGATACCTCGTACACTGAGGGGAGGCCAGTTGTGAAGTATAACTGGACTTTACTTTTTGCTTTTGCTATTTCTTTCAACCTTTGAAAAGTTAAGGTGGCTTCGGTTTCCCTCTTTTTTGACCTTTTTAACTTTAAAAGAAAAAACAAACAAACAAACAAACAAAAAAACAAAAAAGCAAGCCAAAGCCATAACAGCACTTTTGTACAGTTGGATTATACAATGAATGCTTGACTTAAAACAACTATTACTCGTCATTAGCAGTTACCATGGCAGCCTATCTAAAGGATTATATGGACCTACTTTTTAGCTTCCGGCACTGATAACTAGAAAACTAAGCAGGTGACCCCTACTTTTTGGGGGCAACAACTTTTGGCACTAGAAAAGGAAAATGCACACACACACAAAAAAGGGCAGGCTTTTTGGGAAAGGGGAAAATAGGACATTTTTATTCAGTAGAAATTTCCTTCTGTAGAATTTTTTCATTTTTTATCTGGCGGCTCTTTTCAACTCTAACAAAATATTAAAGCAATATCTAAAAATAGCTAGGGGGTCACCGGACTTGTTTTCTCGTAAAATACTTCGAGATTTCACAAATTCCCACGTGTGTTCTCGTGGTTTTAAATTCTGAATCTTATAAGAAAATGGGTTACCTTATTTGAGGTGGGCGCTTATTCGAGTGAATACGGTACTCATGCACTGTTTTTTTACTACCGCTGACTGTTGCGTGTATACTTGCAAGCGTCAATCGAGTTTGTTTATAGTCTTTGCAGAGAAGAAAAAAAATTACAAGCGTCCATTTTACGTATTGTTATTGTGTTTTCCTGTTCACTTTTGTAACGTGAAGCATCACCTTCTGGACTCATTTTTCAACATCAAGAGACAAAGCGAAGTCACAAAGACAAAATTGTTTGCTGGAGACTGTCAGGAAAATCGACTCAGTAAAGTTTTTAATTTCCTTTGTAGATCTTGTAAGGACTCTACACAGTAGCTTTGGGGTAGCATGATCCAAACGACAAAATGTAGCCAAGAAGATAAAGTGTGGTTAATTGTGGTAGAATTCTACTTTATTATTTTTCTTGTTGTGCTTGTGCTTAGTGCACATGTAAGTATTCCTTTGAGTTCTGCATTGAGCTGAGAAATTAGGATTTTACAGTGTATATAGAGTTAGATAAACGCGAATTTTATACAAGACAGGCCAAAAGTAACCTCGCACAAAAGTATTAAAACTTGCCCAAGAATAGCCGCGCGCCGCCATATTTGTTTTCTGTATCTCGCGCTTTCAAAAGTGGAGTGGTATGCTCGCGCGCGATGGACTCCCCACGCGAGAAAACTAGTACGAGAAATATGTCCAGAAAAAGTCGTGAGAAAAATGAAAAATAATTCCTGGATTCCCACTGACCAAAAGCAACTGGTTTAATTGAAGCCCCTCCTGCCAAATTAAAACTGGCTCTTGAGACACCAATAAAGTGTGAAGCAATTTTCACCTGGCCCCAGTTGTTCAAAAGCTGGATAGCGCTATCCACTGGATAAATAGCTATCCAGGGGATAAGTATTACGAAAACCAATTGCGCTATCCAGTAGATAGTAATTCATCCAGTGGATAGCGCAAGCCACCTTCCGAACAACTGGGGCCTGGTGATTAAACTGATGGACTCCGAAGATATTTACTTTCTAGTCGATCGCCACAGTGTTAGACTCTCAGCAATGTTTCTCCATCCAGAACGTTATCTCCTCTTGCTACTGCCTTCTACCCCTCGGATCACGTTAGGTGAGATTTACGTGAGCCCGCCTGCTTTTTGTGTTGATAATCGGCGAACCATTTTTCACATACAAGCAACTCAATTATGCCAAGCACAACGGACCCTTCTGCAAGGGCGCTTTCTGTTGAGAGCCCACCAGGCGAAACATTAGCTAAGCATTAGCCCCAGCAGGTCTCACGATTAACCTTGAGCAGGCCGTTGGTCAACTCAACGTCAATCTTTTTTGGGGCAGTTATTCCAATTTTTCCCCACCGGGGAATGTTCTCGAAATGCGCAGGAAACCGCTTCACATTGCCCACCCGGGCAAGAGCGATCGAAAAAGGCTCCGAAACGATTGCTCCTCTTCCGAGGAAGAAGAGCCAAAGACATCTCGCAAGGATTCGGAAGACGCCATACGCGCCTCCGAGGACGAGATTCAGGACTTGCTTGTGAGCGAAAATGGGGGAGCGCGAGCGCACAAACACCACACGACAAAGCAAATGCTTCCAAAAGAGTTGAATAGGAAAAGAAAAGGCCACCCATCAACAAACAGTTCGCCGAAATGGCCAACAAACGTTGGAGCAAGAAACTTGACCAAGAAGAGGTTTCGAATCTCTTGGCGAGGTACGACCCCCCGGGAAACTGTGTAGAAATATCTGTCCCACGCGTTGACCCAGAAATCTGGCAATTCCTTAACGCGTTCAAAAGGAAAACCGACCTTCGGTTTGCAAATATACAGCAAGCCCTACAGAATTCAAGTTTTGCCACTTTAAAAAACGCGGGAACACTTATCAAAATATCTGACTTGAGTGCCCCAACAAGCAGAGTCGATGTTGTGGCTTTATTAGGTCACGCAGCAAGCGAATTATCTGTTTTGCGGCGGGAAAAACTCAAACCCTCCTTGAAGCCTGAATTCCATGCTCTATGTTCTTCGGAGACGATGTCCTCGCAGAAGCTGCCAATCGTGAAAGACTTAGCGAAAAAAAAACCGCGATGTCAAAGAAACCCATCGTCTTGGAAACAAGGTAGGCTCCTCTAAGGGCCACAGCCGAGGATACCGCCGTGATTCATGGGATTTCTTGTGACTGGTAAGTCGCGTGTCCTTCCCCAAAAAAGGCGGTCGTGCATAGGAACTGCCCTTGTTTTGGCTTAAGCTTTCTCTTTTCGCTGTGGCTATATGCCCGGCAGCCGGGAAGCTCAACTAAATGCCCGGCAGTCAGAAAATTTTCTAGAATGTCTGCAAAATCGCTTTTCTAATGTTTTGACAGTATTCTATCTTCATTTAGAATAACCAAGCGATCAAGAAAACAAAAATGGCTTCGCAGCTGAGCGGTTGTGGTTTCCTGAGCATAGAGCGGCGTCGACGCTGTTTCCACACTTAAAAAATTTCCTGAGTAGCAGTGCGTTACTCACGGGCACGATTTCACGCAGGCTAGATACCTGGCAGTCTGAAAGCGCAGCTGGAAAGTTAAGCCTTCTCTTTAGCTCCAGGATACATGCATACTAACCTCAATTAGTTTCCCAAAACAATCGAAGCGTCTTGCTTGGCTCAAAAAGCGCCAGTTATGCAGGATAATTGTATGATAGTCCCTTAATAGACCACGTGATCAAGGTGTTTGGGGCTTGATAAGTATTTACAACTGAAAACGCTCATCCCATTTTGTATTGCATTTACCATGCGAAAAGAAAATATCTCCTTAAACAGCGCATGGGCTGCAGTCTTAAACAGGGTCAAGAAAAAGTCTCTTGTCTTAAACAGGGTAGCAAAATGAACGGATTTTGTCTTAAACAGGTTTAGGGTTTGAAGGCCTTGGCGGCTCACCTACACCCAAACTACCCTCAAGTGCCCCTCCGGGCTTAATATACTGGTGGTGCTGCTGAATCTTAGGAAAGCGTTCCTCTAAATTGCAAAATTTGTGCGAATTCTCCTCAAAATATTCTATCATGGTTTAGAATTGGTGAGTGACGAGAAACAACAGAGTTTCTTAACCAGAGGTTAGGTATCACTCAGTTTTGAGTACATAGCCTATGTCATGGTTGACTCACGGGCACAGTTTCTCCTCCGTCTAAATGTCCGCAGTCCGATTACAACATAATGAGTCTCTTTAGCCCCCACTGAAAGTATTTCACCGGCCTTCAGGGTAGCCAAGCGGGTACAAAGGGTTTATACATAAAGCAGACTGCCGGGTATTTAGCTTTGATGGAAACGTGCCCATGCGTCACGCACTGCTTCTCACGAAATTTTTCCAAGTGTCGCAACGCGTAGACTCTACTCAATGCCCAAGATACCACATACGTCCGAAGTAGGTTATTTCGAAAACGAAGATTCAGCCTCCTACATCCCAGGGGTCAAGTTTAAATTGAATCAGAAAATAAAAACCAAGAAGCAAACGATACAAAGGCTGGCATAATTTCCACACAATGGAGAGTTATTATGTCGTAAATTTATAGTATAAAAATAAAGTTCATAATTGTTTTGAACGGGTCCAATGCTTTTTTCCCTCTTTGAAACAGAGGTAATGTTGCTTGCCATCGCAGTCAACTCACAATATTCCAATATGAAAAACCGTTTGCTCAGGCAGCAAATTGAAATTTGAATCGCAACTTGCTCGGAGCAAGCTGCCAATCAAAATACCAACATTGCGTGACAATATTGCAAAGTGGCGCGCAAACGAACAACCGGTTTCACTGTAAGTTACATTTTTCCAGGCGAAGTGTAGTCGCCATCTCAGCTCGTCCAGTCTTTTTGGGGCTACATCTTTGAAAACCTTGCCTTGCCAACGACACTCCACACTCAGTCATCCTTTGGTTTAAAGTTTGGCAAATTCTTCTGACATCATGTCTGAGCCGCTTCTAAAGTGTGCGCCGCTTCTGTTGCTTGAAGGCTGTCCAGCGTTTGTTGGTAATATGTCTCCATTCTGTAGTGCACTTAACTTTGATTATTGTTAATTTTAAGTTGAAGTTTTTTCGCTATCTGTCTTTTTTAATTATCACGCTTATACTTAGCTGTTTCGATAAAATTTCTCGTAACGTTCGTCCAAAAAAAGAAAAAAAAAACACTGCTGTCCCCTCCTTAGCTTGTCTTTTTGACCAATTGTTTACGCTTTGTTCGGTCTTCTTCAACGATTTGGCAATTTCTTTGACTGAATGGCCAGATGACCGTAAAAAAACTGCCTGTGCTCTAGCACAAACAGTTTCGGTTTTTTTTTTTTCGTGAAAGAGCAGAGAAAATGAAAGAATAACAGATACAATAAATACGAAAAAGGAAATCTACAAAATGGACGGAAAAAAATGTGGCGGGAAAAGGAACGCTCGCGTGCATATTTGGCGAAAATTTGAAAAAAGTTATAATTTCTTCAAATTTTAGTTTGAAATTGCTTTAAACGGGTATTTAGAAAAATTTCTTAAAGGCTCATTAATTACCAACCTTGATGCATTGCGCACTGCGAACACAAATTTGGCGAATTTCGTGTTACACGAAATTACTGATACTTGTGAAAGGTTTTTCCAAAGATTTGGCTTGGATTCGAACGGTTCAGGCTATCCGTTCGAAAAAAATGTTATCCGTTCGAACGGCTCTGGCTATCCGTTTGAAAAAGAAATGTCATCCCTTCGAACGACTCAGGCTATCCGTTCGAACGGCTTGAGCTATCCGTTCAAAATAATTGTCAGCTGCGCTACTGTTCCAAATTACTTTAACCCGAGCCGTTTGCGACGAGCCTGCCGAAAAATCGTGTAAACTTGAATAATTCTTCTAAGCGTCGTTTACCGTCATCTTATGAATTTTCAAGGTACATTTTCTGCTGAAAGCTTTGTTTACTTTCAAAACATTTGATTATCGTTGCAAGTTTTTTTCATGACTAAGTTTTAAGCTTAATATTCGACAAATTTCCCGAACAAGTTAAGCTTAACTTAGGCTTATGTCTTGACTTTTTCGTATGAGAATATCAACCGCTTTTGGAAGCCGTGGGAATACACTCGCTGTCAATCATGAACTTTGCCTGTTCAAAATACCATCATTTTTCCTTCACCATTTCCCGGAAAACCATTAAAAGCTACTGCCACGGCACAGATCTGAAAAATAAAAACGGTTCCTTGCATCTTCACGGCGGCTTTAATACATATAAAACCAAACTTGTTTACGAGAAAGCCTGACAAAAGTGTTGACAAACAAAAACAAACGACCGCGTTGCATCAAGGTTGGCAATCAAGGTCTTTAACAGAATCAGTTTAAATATTTGCCTAACGAAGTATTCAATGCTTATACAAAATGCAATTTTCAATCGGAACACCCTGTAATGTTGTACATCCAGCTTGCAGTGGATTGAAGGTTGACTTCTGAGCTCCTCATAGCGCTGGGGTTCGAGAGTGGTTTCTGACTTTCTGGATCCCATGTTCTTCTGACAAGTATATTTTTGATTTCAGAATTAACTACGTCATCGTCATCATCAAAGCAGAAAATATTTGTTGGAGCGGTGGTTTTTGGTTGCGTCGTTTTTGCAGTGTTTTTTGGAATTGGCATTTATTGTCACCAGCGAAAGAAGAAGTTAAGAAAAGGAGCTAAATATGGTCTTGATTGCAGTCCCCAACAAAGCGAGATGGCTGTGGAATACATTGCACAGGACCCGTCCGTTGTTGGCTTCTCACCATCCCGCGAGTTAACTGTTCCACTGATGCGTCAGGAAAATCGTAACCTCACTAAGGTTTCCGAAGTAGACATGTCAGTGAGCGAAAACTGGGAGATCGACAGAGAACTTATCAACCTGCAGGAAGTTCTCGGAGAAGGCGCGTTTGGAAGGGTCATGAAGGCGGAGATGTTTGGAATCCCCGATATGCCTTTCAGATGCCATGTCGCGGTCAAAATGATAAAAGGTGAGTTTGTATTTAGGTGTTGTCTACAAAAGCTAGCTTTGCCATTGCAATCATTAAATTTTGTATTTTTTCCGGCAATAGAAAGAAGTCAAGTCGGGAAAGAGAACAGGAAAAGGAAAAGAATAAAAAAGTAAAGAAAGTTAAAAGAAAGAGAAGAAAAGGGAAAATATTAAGACTCAAACCAAGGACCAGAAGCAAATAGGGTCATACCGACAGACCACGAAACCAAAGAACAGATGCTATTAGGGAGCTTACGAATTGACGACTTTCGCACGACGACGCCGTTGGACTGCGTGAAGGACTTACTGCGTATGCTTATCTGGGCACTTGTCGGCGTCGCGCAAAGTCGACGCCGTTGTTGACAGCGATTCGCCGGCGTCCTAGAAAAAGCAGGACGTGAGACTAATTTTCAAAGTTTTCCCTACATACTTCAGGGGATTTTCCAGATAATTCAAGTATCACATTAGGGACATGTTCTTTGCATATGTTTTCTATTTGTTTGTTTGTTTTCATTGGAGTAACGACCCGAAGAATCAACACCATAGTTAGCTGTAGAAAGATATAAATTAACACCGAGTGAAACCACATTGGCAAGATGGTACCAAAGCTACAACTAGACCATTGCAAACGGTTGTCTCATCACAGTGACTACAGCTGTTCAGCAAGGTTATAAATGCTCCACCTGTATATAAACGCGCCTTGCATTCGTCCTTTGTTGTCTCGTCTAAATCCGTGGTTAACTCTGAGTTTGTTGATGAAACGCATAAAAGTAAAAATACAGTGAAATACTCGGTCCTTTATAAATCTGTTTCCATAAGTGTCTACAATACGAGCTCTCGTTTCTCTTATGAATTTAGACATTTTGGTTGAACAAATAAGCTTACTTGTGAAAAGAAGAAAACAAACTTCAGAAACGGCGGGAAAATTTGCCTGCCGCGCGCCCCAACGTCGTCGTCTTTACTACGAATCGCAAATTCAAATTTCTACAGGACGGCAACGCAGAACTATGACGTGACCCAGCGGCGACGTCGTGCGAAAGTCGTCGATTCGTAAGCTCCCTATTTACTCCAAAGGGCGCCGCCTCTCCTAAGCGCGGCACTTTGGAGTAAGATTAGGGAGCTTTTAAAAGCAACGACGACGGCGACGGAAAAAAGAACGGAAAAAAGCAATAGGTTTAGATTGGCAAAATAACAACTATACACGACGTGCATTACACTTTTTTCGACATTTATTTGCCGTCACTGCACGACTACGACGTGAAAATGCCTATTTAACGTTTTGTGGAGAACGTGAACACAAGACAAAGACTTTCTTTTTCTTTTCTTTAACTTTGATACAGTCTTCTAGAAATCAACTCAAGAAAAAAAAACTGCCATCATTTGACGAATTGAACGAGATGAAATAAGCGCGAAAAAAGTTTGAAGCAGCGCGACAAGCCATAGCCGCGGTGGGCCACGGGGTAAGACATCAGTGGCCTAGCGCAGGTTTTGTATACACACCCGAGGAAGGCACTTCCCTTAAACATTTCGTAGCCGCTAATTCTCCTACTGTGATCGGGCTATAGTTTGGAAAAGGATTCTCCAATCTCTTCCGATACAACTACCGTGACCCCCCTGTCTATTTCCAAGAACGAAGTATTCAATCTCTTGCTAATTAATTGTGAGATGGATTGAGCAAGTGGAATGCTTTAAAAATGTATGCCCCACTGCAAAATAGCGACTTAAACTTTGATACCTTGCCTAAGTGAAACAAAAGAACAACAACAAGACAAGAAAACTATGAGACAAAAATAGGCCGGTACTCGTGGTTTTTAGGCACTTTTACACTAACGTGTTCGAAAGTGTCCGCCTCGAAAGCCCCACATCCAAACCATGGTTTTTGCGTTGTTTCTACCTGCATGGCAATGAGACTTCGCAGTCGCCAGGTTATTCTCAGATATTTGTATTATTTAGCGCGCCTACTCCAAGTAACAGTGCTACTTCCGTCTTTTCCCGCCATTTTTGACTTGTTAAATATACAAGTGTTTAGAAACTTAATGGAGGTCTTCTAAAACCTCCATTTTTGTAGTATGAGCACAAGGCCAGAACGCCCAAAAACGCTTGCGTTTTCAAACGAAAGCAAACTAGCGAGGTGGAGGGCATATAATACTTAAATATTTTAAATTAGGACTGTAATGTCAATCTCCTGCATTTCAGAGGATGCCACGGAAAAGGAACACACAGATCTTGTATCAGAGTTGGAGCTAATGAAGACCATTGGAAAACACAAGAACATCATCAATTTGATTGGCGCCTGCACTCAAGGAGGTTAGTTGACGGAGAAATTGAGTGGAGAAATTGGAGTTCTCCCCTACCGAAAACAAGAAAAATATGTCCCTTCTGTAAACTTGAAGGTACACTCTTTGCCATGCTGCGGAATCTTTTTGTTATAACGTTATGGGTAACATTGAAAATTGGTGATAAGAACGTCGTATGCAGCCTTCAACCAAAAAGTAAAAGCACTTTTATTCAATTCTGCACTTGTGATTGCTTAAATCACAATCGGTATTCAGAAGTTATATATTACTTAACCGAAGAACATTGCAGATCATTTCAGCAAGACAAAAAATAGAATTCCCAAGATTTCGCAAAATTAGACGTGTTTTTTTTTTTTTTTAAAAAGAATGCATTTTTACAATGCTAAACTGGTATTGTTCCTTTTCCCCTTCAGGTCCACTGTATGTAGTTGTAGAATTCGCTCCAAATGGTAACTTAAGACAATTTTTGAGAAAAAGGAGGCCAACCAGGGAAATCCCCACAACCTTAACTGCATTGAGAGAGAGGAGGCCAGCCAGAGAGAACAGTTCAACACTGACGTACATGGACCTGGTTTCCTTCTCTTATCAGGTCTGCAGAGGAATGGAATATCTTTCTTCGAAAAAGGTGTGTGTCATCACTAAAGATGTGGTATTTTTCAGATGACTGCCGGAATAAGTGAGAGTCTTACTCACACTATGCACTGCGTGAAATAAGTGATTTACTGGAATTTGGAAATTTGGAATGTGTGTGCGTATGTGGTGTGGGTATTGAGGGGTCAGTGATGTAGTTTTGGCAAGAATCCTTTCCAACACAACTTTAACTGTGAAAACATATCACGATGTTAGATTCCTTTTGTCATTGTTCTGTTCAGTTTTGTTATTTTTATTGTTCAGGTTGCACTTAAGTATTTATCAAACACAGCGGGCGCTGCTTCGAGTTTTCGCGAGCTACGAGTTACCAAGGGCTCGATCTTCAGGAAGCCATTGAGTATGCATGAAAAGAGAAGTCATCAGCTAAGGCTAAGGTCAATAACAAATTTCTTATCTTGTTATTAGTGTATTCATCGTGATCTTGCGGCCAGAAACGTTTTAGTTGCTGAGGATAATACCATGAAAATTGCCGACTTTGGTCTATGTAGAGACGTGCATCTAAAGGGTTATTACAGGAAAACAACAGACGTGAGTATTCCATAGTATAGTGTCCTTGAAGCGCTTAAAAGACCCTAAAAATATGGTTGATTTTCAAACAAGAGGGTACACTTCTTCAATGAATGCCCCCCCTCCTTTCAAGAAGATACCGCATTGTCGTAAGAGAAAATTAATTTTCGTACCGCGTGTTATAATACAGTTATCAATTAGTTACAATTTTCATTTTTATTTCCCGTCCATGTGCTTGTGTCATCTGTACCATTGTAAAAGAACTTTCGAACCATCCTTTCCGGCCTGCCTTTGTGTATTGCGCGCTGTTGTTTCGATCAGCAAGTTAAATGATATTAAACGAAGTAAATTTCAAAGGTTTCTTCTTTTTTGCCTTTTTTGAACAACCAGAACGTTACATTGAGCTGCCTTATGACTGGATCAGCAATTTTGTCTTTCCTGAGCTTAAAATTTCCATTTTTTAAAAAAGAACTACCCTGTTTACATGACGGAGGGTGCCCCTTATTAGTAGGGCCATCCTGGGTAGTTGAGTTTCCTTTCTCCTTTGTTTCACGCAGTTCGTTTTACAGGTACGGGACGGTGCCTCTTGGAGTAGGTATTCCCTACCTTCTTTCTGCAAACTTGAAACCTGACGAATATTTTCGTAGATATCAACTCGAAAGAATGGCAGCAAACGAGCCTGACAGAAAGCATTTTACGAAGGAGGCTCATACCCTCGAAGTCAAAATAAACGAAAACCAGTCCCAGAAAGAGTGCGAGAAATCTGCAATCAGTAATTAAGCCCTCCGATGTAGGAACTTTTCTGCTCATGTAAAATCTCTTGAACCTGTAAGGGAGGGTGCCACTTCCATGTTAAACCTACTTTACGAAAAGAACGGCAGAAACTTCAATGCTGGGAGATAGGGTTCCCCTGACCTCTAGAGGCACCCTCTTTCCATGTCACACAGGCTCTAATTCATGGTTATACTGACACCATTTGTGTAGAGGGCCTAAATGTAATAAACGGTCCTAAATGTAATAAAGTCCTAAATGTCATAACATTTTGTCCTAAATGTAATAACAATTTGCCCTAAATGTAATAAACTCTCAAGCTGCCAATTACATTAATTACTCGAATAAGCCCTGCCCTCAAATAAGCGCCGCATTTGGAGGGGGTGGGAGAGTTAATTAGCACCGCGGCGCTTATTTGAGTAAATACGGTACTAAGCGGTATTGCTATGGTATTAAGCTCCGCTCTCAAATAAGCGCCGCATTTTTGGAGAAAAAAGTTAATAAGCTCCGCGGCGCTAATTCGCGTAAATTCGGTACATTTCCTTATGCACTGTGAAACTTAACGTTTACAAATAAATTGCTTGTAAACGGCAAAGTAACAGTATTTTTCTAAAAAAAGCAATATTTAAGCGATAGAAAACTTTTTTCCTGTGTTTGAATAGCCTGATATAAACACTCGAGGGGTTGGGAGAATTCGAGACAGTTATGCAAACCCTCGACGTCGTCTCAGGTTTGCATAACTGTCAAGATCGAATAAAGAATAAAGTGCTAAATGTAATAACATTTTGCCCTAAATGTAATAAACTCTTAAGATACCAATTACTGTATTTATGCGAATAAGCATCTCTCTAAAACAAGCACAGCAACTGGGATAAAAAGTTAATAAGCGCCGCTGCGCTTATTTGCGCGCGTAAAGACGGTACATTACCAATTACCATATTTACACGCAAAAGGGCCGCCCTCAAATAAGGTTTTTAAGGAAGCCCTACCTTCGTTTGCGTTTGTTGCTGTTGAGAAAAGATGACAACAGTGACAAGGCGGAAGAGGAAATAGAAGAAGAATTGAAAAGAACTTCTGAAATAAGAAGCCTTGCTATATAGGAATCGACGGAATTGTTTTTGATGTTGGAATGCTTATTCGCAACAGGCTCCTGACTTAATAATTACATAGTTTTCAAGAAAGTCTAGATTCGTTAATTAAAAGTTATTTTTAAAATATTCTTATTATATAGCATTGATCAGTTTACCTGTATTACTGCACCCTGAAAAAATTGTCGTATCTCAAATGAATGAATGAATGAATGAATGAATGAATGAATGAATAAATGAATGAATGAATGAATAAATGAATGAATGAATGAATGAATAAATGAATGAATGAATGAATGAATGAATGAATGAATGAGTGAATGAATGAATGAATAAGTATACTTAATAGACAAGAAACTGTTATGTGTCGCTTTGTAGAAATTTATTCATAAACGTGAAGTTCAACGTTGCATATTAAGGAAATATATCAGTACAGTTTTCCTCGAATAAGGGCCTCGGCGCTCAGTTACTTTTTTCTCCCAATGGTGGCGCTTATTTGAGGGCGGCCCTTATGCGTGTAAATATGGTAATTGGTAATGTACCGTCTTTACGCGCGCGAATAAGCGCAGCGGCGCTTATTAACTTTTTATCCCAATTGCTGCTCTTGTTGTATAGAGATGCTTATTCGCATAAATACAGTAATTGGTATCTTAAGAGTTTATTACATTTAGGGCAAAATGTTATTACATTTAGCACTTTATTCTTTATTCGATCTTGACAGTTATGCAAACCTGAGACGACGTCGAGGGTTTGCATAACTGTCTCGAATTCTCCCAACCCCTCGAGTGTTTATATCAGGCTATTCAAACACAGGAAAAAAGTTTTCTATCGCTTAAATATTGCTTTTTTTAGAAAAATACTGTTACTTTGCCGTTTACAAGCAATTTATTTGTAAACGTTAAGTTTCACAGTGCATAAGGAAATGTACCGAATTTACGCGAATTAGCGCCGCGGAGCTTATTAACTTTTTTCTCCAAAAATGCGGCGCTTATTTGAGAGCGGAGCTTAATACCATAGCAATACCGCTTAGTACCGTATTTACTCAAATAAGCGCCGCGGTGCTAATTAACTCTCCCACCCCCTCCAAATGCGGCGCTTATTTGAGGGCAGGGCTTATTCGAGTAATTAATGTAATTGGCAGCTTGAGAGTTTATTACATTTAGGGCAAATTGTTATTACATTTAGGACAAAATGTTATTACATTTAGGCCTTCTACCATTCTCTTTATGTCAATTTTGTGATACATCTTCAATTAGGGACTTCTTCCAGTCATATGGATGGCCGTTGAATCCCTCTTTGATCGCATCTATAATACACAAAGTGACGTGTAAGTACCTTGAAATGTTACTTAGTCACAGCTAAGTAGTGACATATATGAAATGCTTTTTAATGAACCTGGTGTAATTTAATTGTCGTATCTCAAAATTTAGCAAAATTCAGCCATACGAAAGCCTTCAAACAAGTTTTCCATTTGTAAGATATCATAAGCGGATTGCAGTTGAGTTTTTTTAAAAAACTGTTCAGTCTAACAGTTTCTTAAAGTTTAAATCGGTTGTGCTATGAATTTGAATGATCACACGCAGGAGACTTGTTCTGAAGCTGAGGTTTTGCCATTCAGGCGATAATTTCTTCGCACTGAACGTTTAATTTCAAAGTGAATAAATAGTAAAACTAAACAAACTGGACTAAATTTCCTCGACACCGTTTATAAACCCCAAAGGTTTTAATTTATTTTCTTTCCTCTTTCATCAGGTGGTCCTTTGGAATACTCTCATGGGAAATGGTTACTTTTGGTACGTAAGTGGCATTTCATGTTGACGAGGAAAAAAGAAAAGGAACATTTCCCATAAAATAAGAAGGCCTTTTCCTTACCAGGAAAATACCATTTACACGTTTTTAGTGGATAATAGTCACAATTCATTAATATCTTTTAAATGCTCTTTTCTAGGAGGGTCTCCATATCCCGGCGTTCCTCTAGAAACTTTGTTTGAGCTTTTAAATCTGGATACCGAATGAAAAAGCCACTCTGCTGTCCAGAAAACATGTAAGTAGCCAAAACAGCTTCAATTATCGTGGTGAATCAAAAAAAGAGTCCCACCCGAGGCCAAAGTAAGACAACCAACAAGAACTACTGGTACTCTCAAATTGAAATGTATAAAGATGTAGAATAAAGGAAACGGCCACATGGTCCCTGCTCCCACAGCCTCGCTTTCATAAGTTAAGAATATATATGATAAGGTCGCAGATAGCAGCAACGGCCCTCTCGCTGTCCCAAGAGAAATTGAAAACAATGCTTATGCAAAATTTTGGGGCAAACGAGGTGTGTTTTTGGAGACGTGCAAGTGGCGAATGGAAAAAAAGAAAAAAAAGACATCCGGTAGTATTGAAAAATATATTGTGCGTGTTTTGGGTTTTTCTTGATTCCTTAGGTATCAGATTATGTTGAAATGTTGGCAGGAGTCACCGGTGCAAAGACCTACATTTGAGGAACTGGTCAAAGAGTTCGATGCTATGTTAGTGTCACTATCAGATAGAGTTGACTCAACACGTCAATTGGAAGAGGTATAAATGGGTTCACTCCTTACTAAGTCGGCCAATATAGTGATCACATACCGTAAGAGTGAGACAAAAGTGATTTGAAGCCGAATTTCAATCAGAAAGTCGGTTGTCCGCAAGACAAGAGTTACCTGCACTCATACTAGTCGGTTTATACGTTAGTCCATCTTAAGTCAGTTTAACAATTTAAGTCCTGTCTAATTTCTTTAGGACGGATATAGTTGAGACCGGAACTACAGGGTTCCTCTTTTCCCTGCGCATGTTTCTTTCATTAACTGCAAATGAACCCATTCTGACTCCTGAATCAGTGGGATTACAACCTGTACAAATAAATAAATAAATAATAATAATAATGATGATGACACAATAACAACAAAAAGTAAACAAATGAGAAAATCTGACATACGTCTCTAACAAGTCTCAGTTGATGTCATTAGAGCCTTGTGGCTTAGTTTACGTGATTCATTACTTATTACAGGAAGAAATTCATCAGGAAGCGTCGCTTATGATTCCATTGGTAACAAGAGCTTCAAATTCCGCGTTAGTGTCGCCGTCAACTCCGCGAAACACTGGAGGAACTGAACATGAAATGGAGGATGATGGTAGGGACAATAACAGCGTGTCCCTGATCATGATACCCACAATATTTGGGAAGTCTGCAATCCATCGATGCACACGAGACAATTAAAAAGAGACCAGAAACTCCAGAGCCCTAAGATAGCTGGCCATAAAAAGGAAACAAGCGATGCAACTTTTCCTCGGTTACCAATAGAGACTGACGTGTGACAATAGATTATAAAGAAGTGACATCGAATGTTGTTTGATCAATTACGTTTTTTAGTTGCTGAACTACAACTACGTTTTCTTTTTTCAGTCGGTAAAAATAAAGAATTTTTGCTCAATATTTTAAAATGTTTTTTAGAAACGAACATACCGAGGGCCTAAATGTAATAAACGACTGTTTATCGTAATTCGTAATAATTGTAGTAATTTATAATAACTGTGGTAGTTTGTAATAATTTAGACGTAATTAGATAGTAATAATTACAATAATCATGATAATAGGGATAAATAAATCCTTTATTTGTCTTTTATGCTCAGGGGGAATTTTGTGTCTTATTCAGCTACCCTGATGGAGGGGTGGAACAATTTTGGGCCAACTCCCCTCCTTCTGTCGATGTTTGTTCCTTATAATTTACATTTTCCTTCATGTAAACATTCAAACCGGGGGTATGGTGTTGCAGAGGGTGTGATTGCCAAAATCCCTACTGCAAAAGACTGAAAAGACACATAAACTTTTCATAAGTGAAGCCATATGAAAACATTGTTTTAGTTAATTTTTCTGTTGTTCAGTGAATAACACCTTAAAAAATGAGACAATAACTAAAACTACTAAAAATTGTATACAATTTTATAGGAACTCTGTCATTTTCAAAGTGATAAAAATGTCTCAAAAAAGGTACACGAACAACAATGGTATTCCTTGCAAAAAAGCTAATAAACATTCACCACAACTAAACAAATTACAATTAATTAACTTAAATAGAACACGAGAGATTTTTTATATTTCTCCTTCAGCTATGCATTAAAGCATTTTTTGCTTGAAAATATTCTACGTACTTTTAACATCCAAACTCGGGAGGCCTACCCTACGGCGTGGGCCAAGCAAAGGCCTATTGTAAATAATATATAGATTTAGCCGGGGCTAAAAGGTAGCTCCAGTTAATAAATTTATAATTTAAATCAAACAAAAAAGCCCGTCGTAATCCACAAATCAGTTAACTGGGGAGATCCATATGACTTTTAAGGGTGGGGCTGGGTGATTTTAGAGAAAAAAGGATTTGCAAACTGTGCAAGAATGAAATTACATCTAAAATCTTACATCGAGTAAATAGTCTTATTTGTACACTCAATAGCAATCACCTTTGACCACAGTAAACTAGGCTTGAAAAACAAATTCTTCCCAAGCAAAATGACGTATTTATCCACCTGCACCACCTTTATTTTATAACGGTAATTAGACAGTCCCGAAATATATGCTACAAAGGCCGTAAAGACACGATAGTCCTTGGTGGCAGGCAATTTGCACGTTATAACGTCTCGGTTTTATCTCTCTGTCTAAATCGAGTCTATAGGAAATATTTTTTTTGTGTGGCTCGCTACAAGTTTGCTTTACAAATCTGGTTGCGCGTAAACCAGCCTTTTTACATCATCATATGCGGTAAACAGAACTACCAGGCATTGTTTGTTCATCGTACAGACCTGAACAGGGCCGCCAATGATCCCCAGACCGCAAATCATCCTCTACCTTAAATGATCCCCAACATCGACCGCAAATGATCCCGTGAAAAATCGAGGAATGGAATGGATCTTAGTTTGATATTAGATGAAAAATGTGGCTGTTTACAACGTAACTTGCAAGAGAAAAAAAGAACCTTTTCTTCTCGCATTCTAAAGAAAAAGGGAAGGAGGACACTACAGGGTGTTTCAAATGTTCGTTCCGATTTTTTGTTCACTTAACTTTCACTGATTATTAAAGATAACTTTTGTAAACCTAAGCATGTTATTCGTTATTTATTTAACATTGACTAACTGAAATATTAGCCACCAGATTGTCTTCCTTTATGATTTCTGACATTTTCTAAGCGGTGAGGTATAGAATGTACGAGCTCCCAACGGCGTGTCTAAATGCACAATTTTCCAGGTGAAGCGTGGTCGCTGTCTTAGCTAGTCCAGTGTTTTGGGGGCTGAATCTTTGTATTCTCATCAACGATAATCCAGGCCCCGGTTGTTCAAACGTTGGATAACGCTATCCACCGGATAATTCACTATCCAGCGGATAAATAATGGGGAAACTAATTGCACTATCCACTGGATAGAGATTTATCCGGGGAATAGCGCTATCCAGCCTTTGAACAACCGAGACCAGATGGTTACTAGAGGGTTCGCATCACGTGAGTTTGCCGGCCGGTCGTCCTTTGGTATAAAGTTTGCAAATCCTTTTGATGCCATGCCTGCATGAAGTGTGCACCGCCCTTTTTCTCTCAAGGCTTTCCAACCTTTGTTGGTCACATATCTCCATACCGTAGTGCTCGAAACTTTGATATTGTGAAGTTGAAGTTTCCTTCAGTTCCTTTCAGTCTTGTTGAATTATTACGCATATACTTACAGCTTTTTTGATAACATTCATTTACGAAGAATCTAAACATGGTAATGACAAACCAAAAAGCGAGGTAAGCGGTAGTTATGCGGTATTATGGTGTCTTGAGCCTTCTAAGCGCAAAGGCCTAACGCTCACTCACAGCATTCGTGGAAGGTAGAACAAGAAGTAACTTCACAAGGCTGAAATCTTTTGAGAAATAATCAACGGCTGCTTTGGGGAGGCTTCTCAGATATGCCACAACATCGTTCAATCCGAAGGCATGTCCAGCCCTGGCCATGAAAACCTGAGTTTCTTCAGTTGTTAACTTAGTTCTACACTTCTCAGAGGAGTGGAAGTGTGAAAAAGTCTGTCAAAGTCAGGATATTCAGTATCACACTTTTTCCCTAGTCATGAACCTCTTATCATTCATCACTTAGTTCTACTCTTCTCAGGGATGTGGAAGTGTGGAAAAGTGGCGCATCCAGGGAAAGTGCAACATTAAACTCAGTTTGTCAGACTACTGCACACTTGCACACCTCTGAGAAGTGTTAAAACCAAGTAAAAGTAAAAGGCGTTTGTGACTGGGAGAAAAGTGCACCAATATCCTGACTTTGTTGGACTTTTCCACACTTCGAAACCTCTGAGAAGGATACAACTAACTAAAGAATAACAAGGGACTGGTGACTGATCCCTGTTCAACCTTAGAGCACCAAACTTGGTCAAATAACCGATCTCAACATGACCTTATATATGGTGGTGTCAGTTCATCGACTAGTTTAAATTTGAAACCCGCCCCAGCTCCCTACGCAACTCCGAAATGGCCAATACCGAGGACTTCTTTACATAGAGGTTCGTTATATCGGGTTTTCACTCTAATTCGCTAGGGTGACAACTAGCACTTACACGACGGCTGCAAGGGCGGAAATAACCTATGATGGGGCCTAGTTAACGAAATTTACCCAAATTCAGCCATTAGCTAGGCAGCGACTAGTTCCGGAAATGGGTGAATTAATAATGAGGGAACTATAAGTACTGTTTTATAAAACTAGCAGAAGTGTATTATCAGGTTTAAAAACACAAAAACTCGAGGCTCGCCTGATAATACACGACTGTGAGTTTTTTTGAACGGCTTCAAAATCTCTGATATCGACTCATTCTTGCAGTAATATTTAGATTTGGGGCTATTTTGGTCAAGTTTAGCCGTGTCGTTATCAGATATAAAGAGACTAATTAAACATTAATTTCTTTCGGTTTTTTCTTTATGATTAATTAATAAGTTTTGAAGCGAGCATTGCAAATAGACCAAATATAAAGGAAGGAACGAATGGGCAAAATTAAAGAAACTTGAAGCGGTTTGCAATCAATTTTTTCTAAAGTATAATATGTCTGTTGTATCAATTTGAATAACGATGCTCTGAAGACATATTTCTTTGTTCTGAACCAGTGATTTTATCTTTTTGCAAGTTTACTGCGACTAATTGAACTAACCTGCCGTGAAACAGCTTGAATAACTTCTCCAATTATCAGCACTGAGATCACCTGGGCAGCTGTTTCGCCCTTTTTGGGACTCATCAGCATGGCAAGGCCATCGGGTCTATGAACGGGCGTTCCTTTAGAAAGCCTGTTTGACTTTTTGAAATCTGGATACCGAATGGAAAAGCCACTCAGCTGTCCACGCAGAGAGCACGTAAGTAGCCGAACTGGTTTCGTTTTCATTTCCCAAATCAGTGAACCAGAAATGGTCTCATTGGTATGTTTTTGTGTCGAAGAACTTGGTATTCTGTTTTGAAAAAGCTTACTTTAAACCCCACAATGGCATTTTAAACGCCCTGTTTCTCAACAATCAACCACGTTTCGGTATGTGCCCTTCCCAAAATGTGCGGCTAACAACCCTCTTTCTAAACAAGCTCATCCCCAAACTCAGTCTATAAAATACAAAGGATGTAAGGAGTTGGCTCTCATCTCTGCTCCACCTCCTCGCAATCGGTTTTTTCACTTACTTCCAAAACAAGATAAAGTACGATAAAACGAAAACAGAGGGCTGGGAATACAGCAAGGGAAAAAAGCATTCCTAAACGGTAATCAAAGAACCGATAGTCGTTTTGAACCCGTTTTAGCTCGGGATATGCGTAGAAAATAGAACAAGGAGCCGACAGCGATTTCCAGAAGTCATGGAAAACATATTTTGTGTTTTCGTGTGATCTTTTTCGCTTAGTCATCAGATTATGTTGAAATGTTGGCGTGAATCGCACACACAAAGACATACATTTGAGGAACTGGTCAAAGAGTTTGATGCTTTGTTGGTGACTTTATCAGATATTGAGAGGCTCCTCTGGACTGAAGGGGATTTGAGGTCAAAAACCTTGTTTTTATCTTTTAATTTGTGCCCTTTTCCTTCCTGGAAATCTATGTTGCTCAATAATACGTTTATGTCAGAATTTTAATTTTGGATGATATAAAAGTAACGGCGTTGCTCGTTGTACCTATTAGGGGTTTCAATTTGTGGATTGGTGTCGCTTAGGGTGCTAAAACCTAAAATGACTGATTAGGATAAAGATATATGACAATACTTTCAAAACGTCTGTTAGAAGAAAGTGTTCAAAAATTTTCATGTTATCTTTATAACTATTAAAATTTGAAGTGCCGGTTATATAATTTGTTGTTGCTGAATATTGGTGCCTCTAAGGGGTGGTAATAAATTTTGGACACGCCCATAAAATCGTTCCGTCATGATCAGTTGGTTGTTCAGCCATGAAGTTCGTCTACGTGAATTTTTAATTTGTCTCGGTGCCTTTCATACACTCCGGTCATGGTCAGTCGGTTTCCAATAAGTTAGCCCATCAGTAATAAGACATGAAAAAAAAAAAATAGACTGAACCATCAACAAAGCTTAAAAAACAAACAGATCAAGCGACAAAAGAAACTCAGGGCTCTGGTGCGGAGTCTCCTAAAAGATGCTAACAGTGTTTCGTTTAAAAATAGTAAAAAAAAGCTCGTTTTTCCAAGTTATGCCAAAAGGTTGCTCCTTGTTCAATTGATGTGTGTGACTAACCCTAAAATCTCTAAGTGAGGTCAAAATCTGCAATATACATGGACCTCTAAGAGGAAAGTACATGTAGGGTATCCCTATCTCTCAGAGATAATGGAGTTCCTACCCCGGTTGTGTTTGGTACAGGGTCTGGAAGAGAGGGAGCGGGGTCCTGATCCCTTATCCGAGCTTCTGTCATCTCATCCCGAATACAAGTTTTCCTCTGGACCGCATCCCGTGCCAAGACTTCGGCGAGACTCGCCACCCGCGTAATAGTGACACACTGAAACACAATGGAATACATCGCAGGTAAGTCTTTTTTATTCATTTCATAGAAGGAAAAATTAGATTTAACGTTATTTAGCGCGTTCGAAGATCTCAGTATTTTATTTCCCATACAAAGTCTCTTATTTTCAACGGTCGCCTGTAAAGCAACACCGGCGCGTCCAGCAGAAGGGTCAAGCGTCTTACTTTACACTCTTTCCTTGCAACCTGAGTTTGGGTGGCCTGTGGTATTCCTTCAAGAAAGTTTGTGTTTTTCCAAGACCCGCACTTTAATTGCGTCAAATCCCGGACTGAGAGCACCCTACCAGGTCATGTTGTTCTGGAATAATTGCAGCCTTTAAAATTAGCTGTGCAGAAAGCAAACGAGATTTCTCTTTCTCATTCCTGACCCCCGTTTGTTCAAAAGCTGAATAGTGAAGTCACTATTCTATTCAGTTGATAAGTATTAGGGAAACCATTGCAGTGTCCCATCGCGCAGAATGGCCGGACATTTAAGCATGATATTAAATGAGCTGCCGCGGCGGGCCATTCAAGCATGAAAGCTCATGAGCAATCCTCAAAAGCGCCACAATAAGAGAGAAAAAAGACAGAGATTTATCCACTGGATAGCGTTATGGCACCAGTTGTCGCATAAATGTCTTTTTTTTGGTTGCTAATTTAACAGGGATATATTGATCTGGAAACATCGTTTATGATCTCTTTGGAACCAGCAACACCCACTCCTTTAGAACCGTCGACAGCTCGACGAAACTCTATGAGAACTGAACATAATTGGAGAATAACGAAATGTCAATCCAGGCGGAGAAAACAGCCAATTGAAAGTAGCCAAGGATAACACGACTAAAATCACTCCACGAAGAAGTCCCCAGCGCATGGGCAACGACTCTCCATTTTATGTAGCTACTGAATAATTCGTGACACGCCAAACGAATATAATTGTTTATGTCAGCGTTTGCTTTTTATTGTCAGGTGCCTTAGGGTTCTCAGCCACTTTGAGCTTATTTTCCTGTCTGCTCCTTGTCCTAAGAAATGCCTGGTCTGGTGTTCCGGTCACTTTTCGATTTCCTCGTTTAGTGGGCCTTAGATGTTAGAGTCCGGAGGTCCCAGATATCGTTTGCGTTATCAACCAAAACGTTACACACAGTGTTTGCATCATGCAGTAACTGGATTCTATCCGACAACGAAAACTTGTCTCTAACCGAGGAAAAGCCCAATTTAACAAGAAGTATTCAACCATTGCGCTTAAAATACCTTGGCCAAACGAAAAGAATACTGAATGTGTAGCTTGACAAACACTCTAAATATATAACCAGCTTTACTGGACGCAGACCTATCCAGTAGGGGTGGGTGCGAGTAGGACTAATAGGTCTCATCAGGAGCCCAGATAGGCTCCTGGTCCCAGGTATGCGAAGTGCCCTCCTCTCCCTACCTATTCCCAAAACTGACGAGGGATAAAGACTAGGGGTGGTTCATTCGAGTTTGGCCTTAATTTTAACACGAAGAAAGTTTCCTCTTTTTCGCTTGCCTATAATTTTTCTCAAGGGAAAAACTTTAGAGAACTGTTTTTTTGCTGTATTCACAGGCAATATACCATCAGCTCTAAAGTTTTACTTTATTGCTACATTCGAATAAGCAAATCCTTACAGGTCTTTCAGCTGTGTAAAATGCGTGTGATTAATGTCACGTGATTTGTAACTACAATGGAAGAAGATGATGAAAATTTATTCTTGACCTTGTAAATACACAGGATGCTTGTAAAAATATCCTTGCTTAAGAAAACTGTGACACGAGAGACAGTTGAATGCTATTTTGCTAAAAATTATGGCTTTGCGATCAGAATTTTGCTATAGTGCACAAGAAGACACCATGTGCTAGGAAACTTCAGAAGTTAGTGAAGGGCGACAAGAGCCATATTCGAAAAGATTACCAATACCACTTTCATGTTTAACAAAGGCTGTCTTGTCATCTAGCAATTTTCCTCCGCGAAAGTCAGTCTTTAGAGTTAGATTAACAGGAAACAAAACAAAGCAAGAAATGAAAACAGGAAATTCTAGTTTACTTTGTTCTCATAACAGAGATAAATTTGAATACATCAATGGGCGGTCTGTTTCTCAATTTTGAGTTAGCTCTGTATTTTCAGACAAAAATGAAAGGAAACTTTAAGAGAGTCAGTTGATACAAAAGGTGTTGAAGACAGAACGAAGTTGCTTGTTTTTGACAAAGAGCCAAATTTGTTTCTGGTCTATAATTACAAATATAATTTACACTGATACTCGACAGCCAACAGGAAATGCCGCGAATATCATTTATCTGAGAATTTCGAAAAGACAATACTTTGGCTTTTTAATTTGAGTATGTAATCAGGTAATGGGTTCATAAAGATATTACTTAGATAAATGTTTCTGTAAAGGCTGCAAAGTCTGTTGCATGTTAATGACACATTAAAATGTAGGGAGGCACAAACAGCAACTTTTTCATGTCTGATAACTTTCTTAACTCAATCCGGAAAGCTTAGGTGTTCACTTGTTAACAATTTAATAATGGCTAATTTACTTTATCATTCAGGGTCTTGAAAATCATGTTCTCTGAAAATAGCTGTTTCTTGTACATGCATCTAGATGCGTACAGGGAAATACGCGACAGAGGTGCTTGCGCTTATTGGTGATTAAAACTGACTCACAGATAGTTTCGGGTGATTGATAACTCCAAGCAAAAAATACCGCCTCTCGGAAAGGCTCGCTTTTGTTCAGACAACATCCGGTCGAGCTTTGAGCTTATTTTTGCGAAGTTTCTAACTTACCGAAACAAAAGTCTCCTGATGGTTATGTCATAATTAAGTAACAAGCGAATCGATCAAGCATTGTGTGAATAGTTGTTGCTTGGCAGTTAAACACTAGCAAGGAGCTTTGAACGCATTGAAGTTTGCAAAAGATTTCTTTGGTGTCACCTTCGCCGAGAAGAACTGATTTTAAGGGCACTCAAACTCAAGACAAATAATCTTACTCACAAGGTTAGTAAATAGAATTGTAAAACAAGACGTTTTGAGGTAAAACGTTTATGCAAGAGTGGCACTTGTTGAATACTTAAGAGGTAAGGAACGAAAACTTCAACCAACTCAGTAGGGATCTTCCTCTGAAAGAGTTAGCGACAGTATAAATGAAATATTTGTAGATTTGGCAGAAACGTATTGACCTAAAGCATGATATACGACATGGACGCGTGAGATTATTCACTAGGTTCAACGAGGAAGTCTTATTTCTAAACAAAGCCATCTGTTCCTTTCTTTTTGGAGTGGCGTGCTGTGAATTCCACATTGAAGTGAACAGTAGTGGCCACTGAAAGTTCTCGTGTCATTTTCGGAAGTGAGTTGCCGGAAAATGGCCTGGATTGAATCAAATAAGCTTGCGTTTATTTAGATGATCAATATACCCGAGTAGATTAACATCAAGTAAGGACCTTAATGAGTGGACAAGTGTTTTTTCCTGCAGGGTAGAAACTGAGTAGATGGATAAATAGCTTGTGGCAACATTTTAAGAGCAATGCACGCTTCTAGTCGAAACTACAGGATTTATCTCGTCTTGTCCAAAGAAAATAAGGCAATATTCTTACAAAACAAAGCTAGTCAGGTTTCACCATTTCTAACGCTGAATTAATAGGCTGTTCAGATGAAAGAAAGTGATTTTGTGGTTTTTGTAAGACACGAAATGACGTTGTAACGTGCGCGTTTGAACCTGTGGATGAGATCCTACAGTGTATGTACGTGCAACATTAAAATGACACTTTATTAGCATCACTTGCTCATGGTACTATTTATTAAGCTGTTCAAACTGTTTTTTTTAAATACTTTTGATACTGTGGAAGACATCCTATAGAGTAAGCATTCAAATACTCTTCTTTTGCAGTCAGTTACTTTCACATTGCTTCATATGTCTCAGTTTCTGCATTTCAAAATCAAATTAAATTTCGTACTTTTCTTTGAATTCTGACTAAGACCTCCTTTGGATTTAAACGTGATGGACAAAGAGGGCTCAGGTATTCAAGTAGAGTTGAAACTGAAATAACACTCAAGTTACCTTGTTCGACTTTCTTCAATTCAGTAAAGTAACAGTGTGAAGGAGCAAATAGAAGGAGAAGGTCTAAAATGCTCTGGATAACCGTTTCATGCTATTCGTCTAAGATTTTCGGAGATTGTTTTTTATTCACCAGGATATAATTGCACTAATAAAAAAGTATGAAGGCAGAGAGTGCCCAAGAATCTCTTTATGAAAGTATATGGCTACTCTGTTTCCTCAAACTTTCGGCCTGATCCCAAAAAGGCTGCATATAAATCTAAAACTTTCAAGATGGCCAAAGTTCCCGTAAGACAACAGAACAGATAATTAATATTTGGGGCAGCTCCAAAGTTAACTAAATAGGCTTCTAATGCTTAGAGAAAACCATTTGCGACACTTCTGACCTTTTTAATTTGGAAACTGATTCGATCGTTGGATGCCTCTTGCCAGAGTTGATTCGGCTCAGAAATCATGTGTTCAGTTCTTTTCCGTTTGACGGAAATTCCTAGCAAGTGCGAGGTCAAAACGGTAACGGAGAGCAACGAAATATGGCAGGAAATAACTTCAATGAGATTTTTTTAGTTCGTCTTATGACCGTTGCAGAGTCGAGACTGCTCGAAGCGCCACATCATGATTTTTTCGAAACGATATCTGCTTCGTCAATCAACATGAAACCAGCGACTACTTGTCTGGAATCACAACCACTTACGAATTTCGTCGCGAAACGGGGCGTACGTCGAATTGTTACGTAAGCTGAAACAGGAATGGTAGACTACAAAAAATGTAGCATGCATAAAGGTTAGGTAATATTTCTGAACAGTATTCCTACAACTTCATTTATCCCATGCAAATTATTCACAGAACAAAACAGATTAAATTTGTTGCAAGGCAGAATTCTGTAGTGCGATTGCCTTGGAAACCATGGAAAAATAATTCAACTACTAGTTTGCTTGCAGCTCTTTTAGAACATGCAACTTTTTCTGGTCCTAGAACTTTCTGTTGTAATTCTAGAATACTCAATAGGGGCCCACGTCCAAACTTGACTATTGCCACGTCATGGTAAGCTTGCAAATTTGTATTGCATTGCAGTGCAACGTAGCCCCCCCACCCGCCCCACCGCCCCAAAAAGGATCAAACAACTTTCATTTCATATTGGCCGATTCCGAAACGCAACCGTCTTATTTGTCACCCCATTCCGAAGGAGTTATATTTAATTTGCAGAACTAGAGAAAAAAGTGTTCATAATATTCTCAGACGAAATAATTAAAACAATTATGAATAAGACAGAGAGATATTCTTTACCAATTTTAATGTTTTCTGCGAGTAAGTTGATATCCGCGTATGGTTAAATTAAATTACAGCAATATTAATCAAGTTAATTTTCAAAATTGTAAACCCGTTGAGCATTAGCGCATTTCTTGGTGCTCAAGAAACAATAGTCGGCAATCTTAAAAATTCTAAATACCTGTCTCTCTGATCTGAACCTGACGTGTGATCATTAGTCACTCTTGAAAAGCACAGTGCTCCTTTACAAACCTTGTCGAAATCGTAGCCTTGGTTCGGCGTTAAAGACTGACGAAAAGTGCTAGGGGGGGACCCCCTTATATAACCCACAAAGGTATAGCGATGTGTTACCCCCATCGGGTAGGGTTTTTGCGCCGTTTCGGTCTTAAAATGGGTATATAGACTTTTCCCATTTTGGTCTGGAATCGGGTATGCTTTTCAAGAAAGAATAATTTGCGAATTCGAATTAGATTTTAAGAAGTCTTTTTGTTGGCGTTCTAATCTAAGTAATGATTACATAATTTCTGCCCACAAGGGACGGCAGTGATGGATTGAAACTTGAAAAAATTGGGCCAACATTTTCAAGTTTTATGCCTGCAAAAATCGCCAAAAGATTGTTATGATTAATGCTCCCTGATGAAATTTGTTTGATATTTTACTCATATCTCTAACAGATCGTTAATATTGCACGCATGGGTAAAAGTACGAAGTAATCATTACTTAGAAAATTATCTGTTGCTGTTTTGGGTCAATTCTATTAGTACAAGCTACCTGTATTAATAGTCGCTCCTTGTAAGGGAATCTTGATACCTGAATCGAGGAATTTTTTGTTTGTGGATTCCGGAATCCGGGAAAATTTTGTTTATGGAATCCGGAATCCTAAGTTTTGGAATCCGGAATACAGCTCAAGGAATCCAGAATTCCACTAACGATTGGAATCCATAATCCAAGTTCTACTAAAAAGACTGGAATCTAGTAATTGGAATCCGGAATCCACAGCGTGGAATCCAGAATCCAAGACTGGATTGGATTCCCTTACATCAGGGGCACCCTACGTCACTTGGAAAATATCTGTTCGAAAGACGAGATGAGATCTACAATCTTCAGAACATTTGTTGTAAAATTTCTTGCTTGCCTGCCTCTCCTAGTATTTTCGAACATCTAAAATTTTTACCCTAAAAAGGTCACCTAGAATTTTCGGGAGCCTCTTTTTCTGGCTGACATTTTCGAAAAGTTAAGTTTTGATCTCTAGAATTTTCGGATCACTAGACTTTCAGCTAGGAAATCCGAACAGATGAAAAATTTTTAGGGGATGAAAATATGCCTATATCTACCGTTTAAATACTGAAATACGTTTAACAATTGCAAAGCTATGTTGAAGTGGTTTTGAACTATATTCTCGTTGGGTGCCCCTGTTACATGGGATGATGATAGAGGAGGACCCAAAACAGCAACATGATATCTTCGTGACATTGCTCATTCAACAATTCCATAAACAGTTCTGCACAAACAAGTTTGCACCAAGGCAAAATTGTTGTGTCCACTGTCAGTCATAAGTACAGGCGATTTATAACTGACCCCTGAACGGAAATAAATAACAGCCGCGCTTTATAAAACAGTTGAAAGACACTAATTTTTATTTTTTTTTTCCTAAAATG